GTAGAACTTTATCTGAGGTACACCTGTGCATTCTCTCCCACTGGCTTGTCCCAGTTAACAAGTCCTAGTTCCCTGTACTGGTCTCTCCCCTAAAACTCACAGGTCAGGTCATTTCAGTTTTCTGTTAGTAGAATCAGGGAGTACAGCCCTTGGGCTGTTAGAACTGAGAGCTCGTCTCTCAACCTTTCTTGCTTTTGGGAGGTCCCATCTTTGCCATTTTTCCCTATACAGAACATGAAAAGACAGGAGGCATTGACAGTGCTGGGCCTTGGACTCCCTCAACCCCCTCAGTCTAGAAACCAGAGCCTCTAGTTTTTTTCTCTTAGTGATGCTGTGGGCCCCTTTCCTGGTCTTGCCTTCTTGGTCCTTGACTCAGTGGATGGAAGGGGATTGCTTCTGTTCATGCATGCAGGGCTCCCTTAAGGTTAGGGCCAGCTGTCTCTGGGGACTGAGGTTGGAGGAATTGCTCCTCTCGGTCATTCATGTTCTTGTGCTGCGCTTTTGAACCAGGTTGATGAAGGCCTAGCCTGGAGGTGTGAGGTTTTTCTCAAAATTCACATTTATCAATTCCAGGAAATTACCATTGGCCTTCCTTGTATGGACGTCAGGAGCCAAAAGATAAGGTCTGGTTCTGGAATAGAGCTGCCGATGTGGCTGTTGCACTCAGAATATTTCTAGGACAAGCCGAGGAGTTTCCTATACTTCCTTTACCTAGAGGGGTTTCTTTAGTCTTGAGCAGTCACTTTAGAGTGGGACTTACGAAGTAAAGGCAAGATAGAAATAATGTCTGTTGCTGAACAGCTCTCAGGCCAAACCAGAGTCTTCATGAGTTGCAGATTCAGTGAGCACAGACACATCCCAATGGCAACCTGGCACCCATGGTTTTGTTAGTGAGAGCTGCATGGTGGGAGAACTAATGAGAAAAAAAGTCCTTCTCTTGTGTTGCTAAAAGATTCAGATTTGCTTAAATGTAATTTATCATAATGTTGCGGCTTCCTTGCAACTATAGGTAGAAATGGTCAGGAACTACCTTTTTTATCTTCTGGGACATAAGTGAACATCTCTTCCTTGCACTGTGAGTTACCTGTTAGATCAGGCATTTGTATGAGATGGATCACCATAAAGGGTAGGGAAGAACTTGGGGCCACTCTTTAAGAACAGGTAGGGACCTGAAACATATCTTCTACTGAGAGTATAGAGAGTGGATGGAACCACTCTAGAACCAGGTTACTTTCAAAATGGTGGCTTCCTCTTGGCAGGAACTCCATCATCATTGGAGGCAGCACAAAGAAAAGTGAGAACTTAGGCCTTGTGAAAAGACAGGACAGAACATGACGTGGAGAAAGGCCTGTAGGGTGACATTTTGGTCTAAATCTCTGCAGAGAGTAGTAACAGTGGGTAAAGAGAGTTGAGGATGATGTCATTCAGAGTTGTCATTTTGCTTTAGCTGGGATGCTGTTGCCATAGGGGCTCTTCTGAAGACTGTGCCAGAGTCTGCTGGTTGCTGGGTCTGTAGAATGCACTCATGTCTTCTCTGTCACTTGGGTTTTCTTACAAGTGGGAGAATTCTCTACTTCTGACCTTCTTCCTTGCTGTGTAAACAGTCGTCTTAAAGATTTTTTTTCTAAATGAGTACACACCTTGTATAGGACTCCCTTTTAAGTCCCAGGCAGGCCTGGAAGTTGTCCCTCTTTCTGTTTTGAAATCTGTGTGCTTGGTCTGGCTTTCCCTGCCAGTGAAGCATGACCTTTGACCTTGCTCCATGTGGACTCGCATGGGTGCCATGCTGGTCCCTGGGAACCTGTGTGGGGCACTGAGTTAGTAGGTCAGTTTCAGGGCAGTGTGCTTCCCCTGAGAATTGGGCAAGACACAGCCCCAGTGTCACCCAAGACTAGGAAACTCATGGTGACTGAAATGGTCCTGAGGAAATGCTCCTGTGACTTCTAGTGGTTTCTTTCATGGAAAGAAAGAGAAAATAGAGGTCCTCTGGATTAGAAGGTTTTAAAATGAACAGACTGCTGGGTTGAGTCTAGGCTTTTGCTTGCTATGTTATAGCATGATGGTTTGGGGGTCATAGTACATCATAGTAAACTGTGATAAGCAGATCATGGCCCAGGAAAATAATAATGTCTCTTACAGGAACTCCTTAGAGGCTTGGGGAAAAGGATATGGCTAACTATTTTGAATAATAAAGCTTACCTCTACCTAAAATTTTAGTTAATGAGCTGTATAATTTTACAAATTAGAAAGAATTTGAGAGCTGGGCATGGTGGTGCACACCTTTAATCCTCACACTTGAGAGGCAGAGACAGGCAGATCTTTGAGAGTTCAAGGCCAGTCTGGCCTACATATCAAGTTACAGACCTGTTACAGGGCTACATAGTGAGACCCTGTCTCAAAAAAAATAAACTTCAAGTGATTATGATAGCAGTTCGTGACAGTGTCTTTGAACCAGTTAGGACTGGGTCAGGATGAGAGTGTGGGTCTTGTGTTTATGTTCTGGGCATTCCTCCCTGTTCCTTGCTACACCCACGCAGGAAACAGGCTGGAACCCATCACCTTTCACACAGGGCCAGTCTGGTTGTCCAACTGGAAGAAAAGCCACTTTCAGCAATTGCTGAGCAAATCTACTCATATCCAGGGAAAAAGCAATGGTGTTACTTAAGAATGCTCATCAGAGTGAAGGATTTGCTCTGGAACCCTTGAGGGAGAGTTGAGTGCAGGCTGGTGGGGAGTTTTCCTCATATCTGAAGACTAACCATTCCATAGTCCTTTGGGAAAACAAATCCACATGGGGTTTTTGATCCCATGATTCCAGGCATGGAAGTCCTTGGAAACTAACAAATCACAAACAATTAAAGGTGAAAATCAGCTGGACCTAATTCGTACTCAACTTTCAGGAAAGTACCCGGGAATCCACCCTTGAAGAGACTATGCTGTGTAGATACCTCTTAGAAAGGCAAACATTTATCATGCCCAGGCAAAGGGGAGAGAGGGGAGAGAGAGAGAGAGAGAGAGAGAGAGAGAGAGAGAGAGAGAGAGAGAGAGAGAGAGAGAGAGAGATAGATTGAGAGAGAGAGAGAGATTGAGAGAGAGAGAGAGAGATTGAGAGAGAGAGAGAGAGATTGAGAGAGAGAGAGAGATTCCTAGGTACCTATTTAAAAAACATACTTTGCCCCAAACACCATTAGGACATGCCCCAGTACCCTGACATTGTGAAATATAATCAGAGTAAAGAATGTTCAGTTAAAATGTTCTGTACTCTTTCTCAATTTGGATAGATCAGCCACAGCCAAGAGTGAGATAACGCGTGGGGGATGGGTGGGGCGCTCTACAGTGTTGTGGGAGACCGTGTGTGTTTATGTGTTTGTGCTTGGGAAATCATTTGTCTTTGGCAAGGGAGAAGAGGAAGGCAGCAAACAGAACAATGTGATTGAGAAAGAGTTCTGCAAAGAGAACTGTCTGTGATCCCTATCAGAAGGCTGCACACATGACATTGGGTGCTATCCTCATGCTACGGTGGCCCATTGTGTGGCATACTGGGGAGCACTGAATGATTTTGGAACAGTTCTGGGATCTGTACATTGGTAGCAGTGTGTGGTTGGGTGACATGGTCACTGCCAGTCTGAGCACATTCTACCCAGTTTTCTCTAGTGTAGGCAGCACCAGCTCGAAAGCCCACCATGGTTTTAGCACATGATCATTCTGGACCAGCAATGGCCCAGGCTCTAAGAGGGCTGAGTCCTCCCACCTGCCCCACCTGCCCCACCTGCCCCACCTGTCCCACTGAACTCGGATTCTGTCTCTGGCTGCCACTCTCTGTCCTGGTCCTTAGTGACAGGGAAGACACAGACACTGGGGGAGGTGTAGCTAGATTCCAGTCAGATCCAGCAGTGACCATTGGAGCTTAAGAATAGGAGTGTGGTAGAGAGAAGAGTCATCATTTGGGGCCAGCTCTGACCCCTCCCCAGTGCTCAGCTCCCTACTTGCTGGTCTGCTGGGTTCCTTGCAGCTGACCAGCCCTATTGCAAATGGTCTGGGCAGAAACACCCCAACAGGGAGTATTGGAGCCTGTGACCATTTGTTGGCAGGGTAATAACATGTCACTGCATAGAACCTCAATTATGGTGAATGAGGTGGCACGTATGGAAGAACATTAGTAAGCTAAAGAACCTTGTTCTAGATTGAAAGTATCCAATGTCTCAAAATTCTTCTGTCTGTTGGGAGTGGGAGGTAGGTTACAGCTACTCAAAGGACAAGCTGGATACTGAGAGAGAAAAGCATCTTTGTCCAAAGAACCTGTTCCTTCTTAGGCTTCTTTGGAAAATACCTGTCTTGGACATCGGAGATGGGGAGAAAGGCAAGACCCTGGTGCAAACTTCAGAGTCTAACAGGTGGCAGGGGTTAAAGTCAGTCACACAGGCCAGGCAGTGGTGGCGCATGCCTTTAATCCCAGCACTCGGGAGGCAGAGGCAGGCCGATCTCTGTGAGTTTGAGACCAGCTTGGTGTACAGGAGCTAGTTCCAGGACAGCCTCCAAAGCCACAGAGAAACCCTGTCTCAAAAAAAAAAAAGCCTGTGTGGGTGTGGGTGTGTGTCTGTCTGTCTGTCTGTCTGTGTCTGTGTCTGTGTGAAATAGTGTTGCCTGGAGGCAAACAAAGGTGAGAAGGACTCCATTCATGATATGTGCTAGCTCGATAGTGAGCCCTCTGAACTCAGATCTGATTTCCCAGTCTGAGTACCAGTGTTTAAAGTGATAAGAAGTCCCTGCACTTCTAGGAACAAGATTGGGAATGGATACAGCAATCCATGGACACAGGGAACACATGGAGACTACCCCAGAATCAGGGTGGGGTGAGATTCTTATCAGTACCTCACTATCTCTTTCTCCTGTTCCTGCCACTGGGAATGGCTGTGCATGCCTACAGATGTGGGGGGAGGGGGAGGGAGCTGCCTTCTGTCCAGGTGGAGCAGCAGCAACCTGTCTCCTCTCCTTTACAGGAAGCTGCACAGCGGGATGAAGACTTACGGGTGTGAGCTCTGTGGAAAACGGTTCCTGGATAGTTTGCGACTGAGGATGCATTTACTGGCTCATTCAGGTAGGCAAGGCCTCCTTCACGGGCCCCATGTCAGTACAGACAACTACTTCCTGTCCATTTCCCTCTCAACTCGGAGCTGGCCATGGTCTGATTGTCTTCACTGCCAGCCAGGGCTTTGGTCCACCTTGTCCCTTGGATCCTCGCTCCAGTTTCATGGAGCAGAAAAGCCACCCTGAGAGTGTGCCCGTCAAAGGATCCCATCCTCGTGCTCTCCCCTGGGGTTCCCAGGCCATCACTGGTACCCATGCCCTGTGCGATCTACCTTCCAAAGTAGACTGCAGTTTCATTAGCAGAAACAGTTGTGGAATTAGGTTCTCGCTGTCTAATGAATCTGACTATTGGGCTCACATTATACAAGAGCCTTTAATTAAATAGATATAGAAAGGTTGGAACTCAAAGCTAGTTATAGCGTGCTGTCTTTTGCAAGTTAATTTTATCCAATTCTAGTGGGGTTGACTATGGCTGCTAGTAATTTTGTTCATGTTTGGGCAAAACTGTTCTTCCCCAAGAGGTATGTGGAAAGGGAAGAAGCCCTTAACACCCTGTGTGCCTGGTGTTGGGGGTACAGGGAAGGATCCTGCAGATCTGGCCCTGCAACCTTTGAGCTGAGGACACAGCCTGCCTTTTACTGTAGAGCCTGTAACTTCCCTGCCAGGCCATAGTCTCCTCCCTCTAATAGCTTTGCCTTTAAACCTTGCACTCATAGTTTAGGGGAGAAGTGCAGGCTGTCTGTCTTCTTTGGTCTTGCTCTCCTTCTGTGGGTGACCACCAATATCTGCCTCTGCTTTGGCCGTAGTGCCTCAACAATATGTCCTTAGGGGGTTTAACATGTGATCCATCCCTTCCCGTGACAGACACTATGTGACTATGTCACCCCGGGGCAAGCCTCATCACCTCACACCAGATGCCTCCTGCCTGGTGGGCTGTCTGTGTACTGTTCCTCCTCCAACGTGCCATGTGGATGATGGTCTAGGTTCTCACTGGCAGCTTTGTGGTACCCCACTGAAACTTTGCTGCTTAGCCCGCATGGCTTCCCTCACTCAGTGCTTAGCAAGTGCTTTGTTACCTTCATTCCATTCTGTCTGCATGACAGAACACTTCTCCCACCTTTCCAGGTTTTTCCAGACCCTTTTTCAAAATAAGAGCACCTTTAGCCATTCCCCACTTGTAGTCAGAAGGATCCATGACATGGTGCCCATGTTTCTGTATCTGATGCTGTCTTTGAGCAAACTCTTTCTTCCTCGTGTTACTGTTATGTCTGGGATTGCCTTTCTCCCCTGTTGAGAGGCAGGAAAATACAGTAGAAGAAACTTGGTCACCTACCTACCGACATGGTGACTTGGCCTTTCTGAGCCTCTGTCTGCATCCTTGTCTGTAAAGCAGGAATGTTTAACTCGAACTCGGAGAACTTGTAAGGCTCACACAACTTCTTTCCCATTATGCCCACTGTGTGGCAGGTACTTGGTAAGTGTAATCTCCCTTCTTTATCCTTACCAGACAGTAAAGTGTTAGGGCACAGGATTGAGCCTGTGCTATGTCTAACACATTGCCTGCAAATGCTTATTCAATAAATGAATATAGCCTGGGCATCAGATGAGCCACTCAAGAGTACTGTAAGGTCCTGACTGGTCTTACCAGCAGCAGAAATCCTTTCACGGCTGAGGGGCTTGATGGAATGGGAACACACTGGACCTCCTGACTCTTCCAGGCAGTGGGAGCAGGCGTGACATGGTTATAAAAACCATGTCTGCAGTGTTGGTGGGTATGACTGAGATATGTTGAGAGCTGCTGAGTTCTTTCTACTAGGTGGGTTTGGTGGCCCCAGTTCTGACAAGACAGTGACTTTGTATCACTTGCAAGTGGGGGGCCCCTGGGAGGAGTCCACTTTGGTCCTATCAGAGGCACCACCTCACAAGTTTCAGGAAGTGGGCTGTGCTTTCTTAGTTTCCCATTTCAGTGCTGATGTATTGTCCACTGAAGGCTGACTATATTATGATTTGCCCCTCTGAAATCCACTTGCCAATGCCCTTGTGAAGGAGGACCATTTTGTTTTAATTCTCCCTAGCACACAGCTCCTAGCCTGCAGCCCGAGACTTCCAGTCTTTGCCTGTTCGTCCTGTTGTCCTGCAGATCCCTCGCTCTTGTATAGGCCTGTCTTGACATTCAAATCGCACCAAAGGACCGGGAGGCTGGACCACTTCCTGAACCCTTGCTCCCTGCAGAGACCTGAGCTTGCTGCAGGTTAGGGTCCGGGTCTGAGGGGTTCCCAGACTTCTAGCAACCCCTATACCAAATAAGAGAACTCTGTAGCTCTAGAGGATATTCATTTTTGCTGGTCTTGGTGATCTATAACTATCATCCCAGCACTTGGGAAGTAGAGAGAAGGGCTCAGGAATTGAGGGCCAGCTGCAGCTACACAGCAAATTCAAGGCCAGCCTGGGCTACATGATACCCTCTCTTAAAACACAAACAAACAAACAAAAAACAAAAAGAGGCAACATTTATTTATTCATTCATTCATCCTGAGACACACTGGCTGTCCTGGAACACACTATAGACAGCATATATTTCTTGCTTCTCTAGTTTGAAGGCTCTGTGCTGGGAACTGACAGTGAGACCAGCCTAGGGATTTATACCCATTTCTTTTTTAGAGGATAAAGGGTTGGAGCTGGGAAGGTCATACTTAGTTGCCCAGGGCCCGGGGAACCTGTTTCTGGCTTTTTCTTGTATTTTTAAGAACGTGATGTGGAGATATGAACCCCAGGCTGAGCAGGGGTCCTGGTGACTCCCTAGGCATTGCTCTGCCCTGGCCAGGCTTATTCAGGCTGTCTCTTCTGCTCCACTGAGCAGCGTGCCTCTCCCTTCCTCCTTCTCTTGCGGGTGCTGGCCGCCCCACCCCCTCTTGGCTAGCACAGCCTGTGTTTGTTATTGTAGTCCTGGCGCTGAGCCAGGTCTGGCTGTGAGCCAGACTTGTGGGTACAGTATGTACAGTGAGTGCTCAGCCAAGTTTGTCATCATACTCGATTATTTTTTTTTTCTAATCTGGAAGGGGTGGGGTGAAAACAAGAGTTTCTGCGATGCTGGAGGAGAGAATGCACTGGATCCCATGGTGTTACTTCTGTGAGGGAGGCACTCCAGTCGGCCTGCCTTACCCCGAACACATCTCTCCCTTCCCTGTCGCCTTCTCCCCTCTTCACTTCCCCATCAGATGAAATCAGCCTGTAGGAGATCGACAAGGCAAGCTCCTATTTGCAGTGACTAGAATACTAAATTTACACTCTTAAATCAGTTTTCATTGTGTTGAAATTGACAATTTGTTTAATTAGAAGTTTGCCCTGTAGGAGGCCCTTCCGAGAGGCTGCTGTTTCTCCCCTCCCCTCTCTTACTTTCTCTTTTTTTAGTTGTGTTGTTTTTTAAGACCTTAAATGGTGGTAGTGAATGTTCACTTTAATTGAAGTTTTTATCCTGATTTCAATGCGTTAACTACCCAAGTGTTTATGAGATATACCTGATGATAACAATAAGTTTAAATTAACCACCAACCACTAACTCATTAACTAATGAGTGATCTGGCCAAGTTCTACATTTTAGGGATGGTTTTAGGGATCAGAAGGACTGGAGAATTAGGGTTGTGACTGTCAGAGTGAAGAGCAATGACTTCATTCAAGTTCCTGACAAAGTTGGGATAGGGTTGTAGCGGGGAGCTGAAGAGTATCCTGCCAGCCCACCATCCATGTCTGGGGATGACTCTGAGGCCTCATTTATTGCCTTGTTCCCATGGGAATCATGCCTGGAAGCATTTATGGATCCCCAATTCTTTGCTTTTGCTTTGATTTGCAGCTGGGATGTGGGGCTAGACAGACCACAGACTGTAGGTGTGGCTCAGTGGGCTCTGAACTTGCCCAGTATAAGCCTTACCGTTAGACTTATATGAACTTGTCACTTCTTATCGTGGCATACTGCAGGCTTATAAAGACACTGCAACTGCTTGCTCTGTTTTGGACCCAGCTATTAACTAGGAGGGGTCTGAGTGTTTAGGTGGTCAGGTTCCATTCTGGGGTATCATTCACTTTTAGAACCAGTGCATATTTAATATGCATGAATTATGAGTGAGGTTGTGTGATGGATGTCAGGGCATCCTTTCCCTCCAGGAACTTGGTCTAGTAGGAGACATCAGGTTAGTTCTTTAAAAAGTGCTGAAAGAATTGTTCCCAGTGTCAAGACAGAAGTTTGGGAGAGATTCAGAAGATGTGGACCCCAAGTAGAAGGTGAGAGCTGTGTTCCGGAGGGATCACAGGAGGCCTGACTGTGAGGATGAGCAGTACTGTTTGGAGAAGAGTATGTGGGTAGAGTGACAGAGGAAGGACCTAGAATAGGGTCGAGGCAGGATTGTGGAAGTCCTTGAGGAACAAAATGATTTGAAACTCCCCAGCACAGGAAAACCTCTAACATACTGAGAAGGGAGTGACATTGTTTTCCCTTCAGAAGGGACTGTTGAGCTTTGGCTATTGATTGGCCTGGAGTGTACGACATGTGAGACCCCCTCAATAGTCAAGACAGGTAGGTCACTGTGGTCATGGCTGCAGTGTGGAATCCCAAGCTTCCTACACTAGGGTAAGCTGTCAGGTGGAGATGCCCCACACACTCGTTCCCTGATTGCTCTTGCTGGTGCTTAGGTAATTAGGTGCTGCCAGCCATGCTGGTTGAGAGCCCATCCCTGTGACCAGGCTTGTGTCCATACTCAGAGCCACACAGAGGGATGAAGGCTTGGGGCAATGGGTTTTGCAATTCTAGCCAGAGCTTGGGGTAGCCCTGGTATATTAATCTGAAACCTGAGTCATCCATAGAGCAGGTGAAAGTACTAGAAGGGGACAGAAGCATGATTGGTTTTCTTTGGCTTCTGTGATCAGGGGGAAAACATACAAGTTGACAAAGATCAGTGAGTTGACCTGGTTTCTTCCCTCCCTCCCTCCGTCCGTCCCTCCCTCTGTCCCTCCCTC